CGCCTATTACATTTTATCTTATTTTACTTTTTTTTGTTACTCTATCGTCGAAAATGATCAGTTCTGGGCATTTGATAAGTATTAGTGAACTGTACAAACTATAGCTAAAGTAAAAAAAACAAAACAAAACAAGGCTTTAAAGTTTGGTTTCCATTTCTTTGCCGGGCATTAAGTGAAAACTGTTGAATTGAGATTCGGAACCTCATTAATAATTCATGAGCTCAACAACCTATCACGTCCGCTAAAATCCGTCACCTGCTCGTGTTTAGCCTGAGTATCAGGCCTTCCTAAGGGGCTAAGGGAGAGGAGATTTTAGATGGGGAAGGGGGAAGGGAGAGAAGAGAAAAAAGAAAGAGAAAGGAAGTTTTTCAGCTCTCTCCCTTTTTCGCTTCCACCTTTCCCGTTTCCACCCGAAACGCCTGATACTCAGGCTAGCTCGTGTTGAAACAGCGGTAAAACACCGTCAAACTAAAAAGCCTGGGGGTGGCATTTGATTTCAGTCTCAGGGGAGTCCGGGGCTGATTGTATTTTGCTTTATTGATAGGCTTTATTTAAAAATTTCATCCTCATTAGTATTCTTTATATAAAAAATACTAATAAGGATGGCATTTTATTTCATTGCACGTGACCTATCAATATTAATTATCAGCACAGCAACTAACACAACAAATGGTGGGTGAATATTTAATGTTCTTTCAAAATAACACCCAGTAAATTTAGGATTGCATAAAATTAGACTTTGTTCTTTCACCAATTTAATCAGCCAAAAGTTCAGTGACACAGCGTTAATATTGGCTATAGCAGCTTTCAAGCGTTGCACTCAAGACTTGCCAGTTGTGAATACGCAAGGCCAAGTACTGGATTTTTGTTTATCTACCATTCGGTCATTCCAGAAAACGTTTTTCAAGGAATACTTTTTCAGTGGAATAGTTGACTTTGGGGTAGCATTTTCAATTAACTTCCTCTCTTCCTCGGCATTTTTAGGCTCCCGAAAAGCTCTGGAACAAGACGCTATGTCCCCTTTGGTTAGTGTCGTTAAAACCCTCCCGCTCGTTTATTAAACATTACATAAAGGATAATCAAATTCCGAGGGTTAGTAAGGGCAAAGTTAATGAGAAATTTATATCGAGTACGAGTTAAAAACAACTGTACGTACCGCGGACAGGAAAGAAAGCTCTGTTTAAATCCGAAAATTCCATATAAACCGCCTCATTCACTTTTATGAAGGTACATATATACTTGCATTTTATTAGGGCAGTTACCATGGTGACTTTGAATAGACCCTTCTACGGTTTCTCCAGACAAATGGCTGCAGACTTGTACCCAGTCGCTATTTATGTGCTTTTGGCGTGAGAGAGGATTGGGTGCTAGTCTGAAACGTCTGTAACATTTCACGACTTTGTGGATTAATATCTTCGCTCGCTTTTACTGTGTATCACCTTAAAACTTGATGAGTTTCTTAGGTTTAAGACGCTCTTTCCAGAAGTGTCCATGGATATTGGCTAACTGGTCTTTATCTAAACTTGAAATATTAAACGTTCCCCTCAGCTTTAGACGATAGCATGTCAACCCAGCCCTCTCTCCTCATAATATACCCAGGAAAGATGAAGATGAAATAATGAAAATCTGAATTTACTGAAAAAAAAAAAAGAAAAACAAACAAACACAGTGAAACCTGCATTAACCGGACACCCTCGGGGAATGCTGTAGTGTCCGCTTAATACAGGGTGTCCGCCTAATCCAGGTTTCGATAGATAACGTCATATGAGGTGTCAAATGCCATTCAAATGAACAGTGGAAACGTTTAGAATTCTCCCAGAGGTTATGACGATATACGTTTGCATTTTCTTTATTAAAGTGGACCAATAATTGATTGTAGTACCATAAACGTACATACTGAACATAGATTGCAACTCAAATTTGAAGAAATCAGATTAGTGAAACAAGCTCCATACAAACAAAAAGAAATAGAAAACAATACTGTACTGTGAAACTAATCAAATAAGTTGGTCAAGTCACCGTAAAAGTCGAAAAATTTGTAGCGGGCAATCTTTCGCATTTCCGGTGTCTGCCATGTTGGGTGGTGGAATTTAATTAAAAGTGTCCGTTTAAAAGAGGTTGGCAACAATAGAAATGACCATTTCAGGTACTTTTTAGGTGTTCGCGTCCGCTTAATAGAGGTGTCCGCTTAATAAAGGTTTCATTTGAAGAAAATAAAGGAAATAAATTTGGGGACTTCGGCTACTGTCCGCTTAATAGAGGGTGTCCGCTTAAAACAGGTTTCACTGTAAATAGATAAAATAATTATAACCGACGAAACTGAAAATTACATCAATAGACCTTTTTACCGATACGGCGGCCATATTGAATTAATTTGATTTAAAGAGTATTATAGGATGCACAGGGGGCATGAGCACATTTCGCTTGTATTTTCGAGCGCTTTTCGAGACATTTTTTCGTAAAGTTTTCTTAGAATAAGATTGTAATGGGAAAAAAGATCCTTGTGCCGTGTTTGGCGTGGATGTAATAATGATCGCCTTTTTTCCCGAGAAATGTACAGTGAAAGACCATATTTCTAATACTAAACTAGAAAAAGGCGATCATTATTACTTTCAAACGCGGCACAAGGATCTTTTTTCCCATTACAATCTTATTCTAAGAAAACTTTAAGAAAAAATGTCCCGAAGAGCGCTCGAAAATACAAACGAAATGTGCTCATGCCCTATGGGCATCCTATAATACTCCTAAATCGAATGAATTCAATATGGCCGCCGTATCGGTAAAAATGTCTATTTAAACTGACTACTTCACTTACGTAACATAAAAATTGGGTTTTATTAAGTTCATTTACCATCCTTGAAAAGATTTTAATACACTGATCCTTGAAACGCTAAATTGACCCAGTTTAACTATGGTTTTAAACCAATTTTGGTGTAACCTTCTGAATGACTCGCTGAAGAAGCCAAGCTAAGTTATGTAAAACAAAAACGTTGGTTTATTTTATTTTACACTATAATTACATTACAAGTTGACAGGCAAAAGTTGTAGAAATCACAGAGGGGGGTTGACCGATTAGATGACAGGAAATTACAATACATTCTGAGAAAGTAAGTTGTCCATCATAATTACCATGGAACGAAATCAACAACATGGATCGAAAGCAATCAATAACAATCTACAGACGTGACCTTTTGAACCCACTGAAGAAAGTCGTATGTTTCCTGAAAAGCCCGTGATATATTTTCGACTTGATGTCTCATGTTTATTGCAAAGTGCGGCAATGGTAGCGAAGAAATTGCTGATAGGTGCCAAAATAACAGCTTGTTTCAAACAAATATGTTTTTGCATGTTACTTTGTAAGTTTCGAAGCGAAAAACATCATCTGGTGAAACATTTTGCTTTGTTGAAAACGTTTGCTATCAATATTTAAATTTCGTGCTTCAAGTAACTCATCTATTTTTTTACGAGCTGCTGATTGGCCCACAACCAACTTTCTTGGAATGTATTGTTATTTTCCTCTAATCCGACTGGTCACTAGGTGGCCCCGGTTACAGAAGTCGCACTGTAAAATGTTGGTAGCGAAGAGTTGCAGTTATATTTTAAAAACCACACACCGAAATGGCAGTTTTTGTTAACAGGATCCGGAAGTCATAGTGCGCCATTCTAAACGCGCGCAAGACAAATCAAAATGCGTAAGGAATTCAAGGAGAATTAACTAATCTTGACACTTAACCAACTGTTGTGCTTTTTACTTATGTAACAATAACCAAACAAACTAAACTAAGTTATGAAGAGTAATAATTTAGTTATCAGGGAACTTAAGCAATTACGATGCAACAAAAACGGCAAAAGGTCTCTAATTAGGAAAACAACAATTCTGCACGTGCATCAAGCTTTGTGGTATATTTCTTTACCGTAACTTCACGACAACCAAATGATATCTCCCGATGCAATAATTTGTAGAGAACAAAAACAGGCGACGACAATGTTTTCTCCTTTTTTCTGTAGTTGTGCGTAATGAACGAAAATTCATTTCCCGCCGGACAATTCGCTTACAATCGACAAAGTAAAAGAGTTATGAAATAATGGAGATGAAGTTTGAAGGAACGTGAATGCTCTTCTGAAGTGACGTTTTCATTGCCGTCGCCGACATGTTGCTAACGCTACCAAATAAAGTAGGTGTTCGAACTAGTTAATTAAGGTGGCACGAACCTATTTATAAACGCGTTTTTCAGCAGTAACGATTTAATCGATATCTGTGATTTTTGGTACCTTGATAAAAAATGGTGGAACTTTAAGAAAATGTTATTTATTTTCTTGTAGATGTAAAAGAGTGTGAAATATCCAGTCAGCATTTATTAAAAATCGCGCTTTTACTAGTAAAAATGAAAGTAACTTCGAAATCATACGACAGATTTTTCCCTAACTAAATGAGCCTTAGAACTATCAAGTTTGACCGGATATCTGCAAGTTTGAAGTCAATAGTGAATTCACAACTCGCTGCACAAATTCTGATGAAATTAAACCTTAAAATGCTACGCTAACACATTTGTGAAAGTTGACGCACAAATAGTTGAAGAGTGCCGACGGACTATGACCGGGTATTCTTACCCAAAGCTTTATTGCAAGAAGAACAACTTTATGCTGCATGCAGGGTGAGATCAAGGTATAAATCGGTTCCGTCCACCTTAAAATGGAAGACAGACTTGGAAAATTACTTTTCTTATACAGTAATAAACTTTGCGACAAATTAACTACACCCAAAAGAAAAAAGAAAAAATATGGCGTTCAACTTTAAAAGTTGAATAGCTGAGCTAAATTCTGATAAAAATCATTAGGGACTTTGTTGGGTCTTAAAGTCCCTAGTAATAACTACAGTGAAGCTAAGAACTAGCCCAGAGCAATTTATCTTTCATGAATAAATGCGATTATAACAACTATCTGAACTATCATTCTTACGACAACAGCGTGTAAGCGTCTATCCAAAAATGACGGGTCCTTCAAACCGGACGAAGGCTAACGTAATGAAGCTCATGCACGTGACCCAGCACAAGCCGGTTGTTACCAGTATCATCATACTCTGGGCAAATCATTACCTCATTATGATGCGAAAGACTGCTGATTACGTGAATGCATGTTTCAAAGCAGTTTGCCGCACCATGGAGTATCATGTGATCACCCCATGTACCATTTGTCATCATGCTTGTAAGGTAAGCTTCCCAAGATGAATATCCATCAACAAATTGGAAAAGCTCTGTCCCATCTGGCTGCAAGACACAAAATAAAGTGTAGTTATTAACTCTGCTTCTTTATGTAGTGCCATTAAAAATGTGACGTTTATTGGGGAAAGAATTACAACACACACTGTAAAGTCGCATGTATAGTAGTATCATGCAATTCATTTACCACGCTGGATAAATGTGTCAAAGTAGTCGCTTGTTTCCTTATGTTCTTGTCACTAAAACAAAGCACATTTTTTTTCAGGTGCCTCAACAGTTAGGCTCCGTTTACTGACGGGGCTGGACTAATTTTTGAAAAAACAAAACTTTACACGGATCGTCTTTTGTTTACACGGGAACCGCGGAACCGTGAAAGTTTTTGAACGGCAACGTGTGCAAGTTTTTGACCTGATCAGAAGAAAGTCAAAATTGATGACCGAACGGTTCCACTTTTACGCGGGCTCTTGTTAACCGTGCAAGTTTTTGCACAGTTTGTGCGGTAAAAACCTGGAGCCTAGTTATGCGCCTTTGATAAGTGACGTAAGTTGATCTGCCGATTTGCGGCCTTGATTACAGAAAGAGCTCAAGATAAGTCAGAAATGTTGTTGTTCCTGTTGTTTGCAGACTCCTTGCAGAAACTCTTCCTGAAAGTTTTTGTGATATTTTTCGATAAACTTTTTGTTGAGCTCATCCCACTTTGCTTTTACTGTCTCCCAATCAACGCTTTCGCCTTCATTTTCTGTTTATAGCCCACAAGGACGTGGAGTGGCAATTCTTCGTCTGTAAAAGTTAAATTTTTTACTGTTGCAGCCATTTTAGTATGTGAACACGCAACAGGGCGGGCGAGCAAGGAAGACGACAAACCTTGTCTGACAAGCGTGACAATAATTTTGTTTGAAAAAAAATTGCCTCAAACTTCATCTTCCTTTAAACAGATCTTTTTGCAAAAGACCGAAAAACATTGATATTTAGTGAAGATTACGACAACACATAGTCCTGTCACCTTTGCCACACAAGCGTTTTGCTGTCCTCCTCTTTCTACCGTCCTGTTGCGTAAACCGCAATCTGGACTCAGTGTAAAATGATTGGTTGAATGCAACGCTGAGGAGATTCAAAAAAGCCATTCCAGTGCTGAAACTGCGCAAAAATTTCTGTGGACTCATGCGAAAAGTACTGCAATCTGTAGAAGAATTCGTCCCGACCCGTGTAAACGAAGTCTTAGTTTTGATCTCTCTCGAGTCTCCATGTTTTGCCCGATTTCGTCCTGGGGAACATGATGTCAGTAAAACTTCGACTCTGAGTCTATTTCTATTTTGTTTCCGGAAAGAATATTTTGTGTTCTTCACCAAACTATACATATTATTCCAAAATGCGGGCAATATAATTGTTTACTTTTTATGTTAATTGGATCTATTTTCGCCAAATTGTACCTTGAAACGAGGCATTGAGGGGTAAATATCATGCAGACAAGAAATGACTTTATTTGCCACCATTTTCAATATAGTCTATGACCTCTACTGGAGTTCATGAAGCACGGAAGCCCAATCTGAAATTGAATTCCGCTGTTCTCAGATGAACAGCAAGACCAATTCCAAACAAGAACATTCAAATGCTTATTTTTACAAATAACTGTCAAAATTGGTGGAAAAATGGTGAGGCTGAAAGATGATTCATTTTCCATTGTCATAAAACAGGATGCATAAGAAATCATTCAATATTGTGGGACACGCGCTCGAATCCTGTCTGGGTCAAATTGTTTCTTCGTTCTACTCTTGTGTCATACAGAACATTAGTATCGTTCTAAAAGCCACAAAATTCTCATAAATAATTATGCGGATCAAACAAACAAAAAAAATTTCAATAAAGGATGCAAGAGTACAATTATATTTGCTGTGAGAGTTGTTGAAAAAGCGTTTACATCTCCAGAACAAAAGAAAAGTGTTACTGACGATGATGTGACAATAAAACTTCAACACTTCATTTTGATCACACTACCTCATATCAATGTTGTAACAGGGAGGGGGCAGTTACAACAGTCACAACATCGGCTCACAATGTCATGGTGCAGGGGCGGGCACCCAACGAGAATATAGTTTAAAACTACTTATAGCACTGTTGAAGGTATTTTAGTAATTAAACGATAGATATGGGCATATTTTTATCCCCTAAAAATTTTTCATCTGTTTGGATTTCCCAGCTGAAAGTCTAGTGATCCGAAAATTATCGGGATCAAAACTTACCTTTTCGAAAAGTTCAGCCAGAAAAAAAGCGTCTAGGTGACCTTTTTAGGATAAAAATCCGTTAAAAAGGGGCAATTAGACCATTTTTTAGATGTTCGAAAATCCTAGGAGAGCCAGGCAAGCAAGAAATTTTACAAAAAATGTTCCGAAAATTCTAGATCTCAAATCATATTCCGAACAGATATTTTCCGAAAATTGACGTTGGGTGCCCCTGATGGTGTTCATGTAAGTTGTAAAATACCGTTAACAAAGCTAAGTTAGTGCTATGATTTAACTTACCAGCGTAGGGTGGTCCATAAGATAATGGACCACAGTTCGCCGTATCTCTTCATGAGACATCCTCATTCCTTTTACGACATCAAGCTGTTCTGAAAGAGCAAAAAACATGCAGTTGCCCTCTCCTTGATTGTCAGAAATCACAAAGCCTTTCTCTTGAGCAGTCCTCTTTAAATTCAGTGACAGTTCAGTTTGGCTGGTCTCACTGCGTGCGTCTAACTGGATTTGCCGAAGTGGGTGGAATGTAAAGTCACCTGTAAGTAACAAAAGTACAAAATTATTCCCTGTGAAGAGGTGTGGTGCTTACAAATACCAGAGGGTGTCACTCAGGTTTAAAGCCACCTTATCACGTTTCCGATACAACAACAATATCATGGAAGGATCATTTCCTTTCAATTACTTTGGTGTAAAGTAAAAATCAGGGTAAAATGATGTCACTCTTCTACAAAAATAGACAGTAAAAATGAAGTCACTCTTCTATAAAAATAAACTTGACATTGGAGTAACGCGTGCACTGTTCAAACAGGTAACGAATTACAGTCGAAACCCACTTTACAGACACCTCATTATTATGGGTTGTATCCTTTGTCCCTAGGGAAACCCCTGACAGTGTCTCTTTATTTAATTCGATAATAACGGACACTTTTTACTTGTTTAACCAACGGATTTTTACAGACGAAGTTAATTTCACTAACACGAACCTATTCTACCAAATGTGTGACGCAATAGGAAACGCACCTTAAGTTAACAGCATGCCAATGTTCACGGCACTACATAGACGAGGCAACACGAAGTCTTGACGTCGATTTAATACCAACTGTTTTGGCAACAAATAAGTTTTCCCGAGTTATGAATAGATGTATAATGTAATCTTTATATTTTAATGTTCTCATAGGCAAAATCCACAGAACAATAAGTATTTGTATATTAGACCAGTTCAGTTTGATGATGCCTTGACGAAAGTGTAACTGTAAGTTGCCTAACCCATGAGGAACGCAAGCTCAGTGGTGACTTTGTCTTGATATCGGTTGCCTAAGGTGAATCGAGATATTTCTTGTTTCTTTTTTATGTAACAGCAGGAGACCTCTCAAGTCGTACACCCACACAGGAGTAATATAACGATGGTAACGCCGTAGAACTTCAAATAAGTGACTGGCCTAGCAGCCGACCACCAAGTACCTTGAGATGACATTTCAAGTGAGCTGGTGTGTTGCCATTTGGTGCCGGCCAGTCAGTCCAAACATGACAGTATGAATTTGCACACTACACAGTTTAATTATTAATTAAAATTCATTAGTTAATTTAAGATAACTTTGATTACTTACCATAAACCATCTTCCACATCTTTTCAACAAGCAGCTGGCACTGTTGTTTCCAACTGAACTTCTCTTCATAAACTTCTCGCACTCCTCGGATTTCCTCCAGCCGCTGTATCCAAGGTTTTCGACGGATGGCACCAATTGCCTTTGCCCATTCCTTGGGGTCATCAGAATCGATCACAAGTGACTTGCCCTCAGTAAGACCACGCAGTGTTTCTCCAAATCCGGAGTTTCCACTAACCAGAATGGGAAGACCAGCTGACATCGCTTCCAGTGCTGTCAACCCAAATCCTTCAGTTCTTGAAGGCATGATGGCCACATCGACTTCGCAAAACAACTCTTTCAATCTTTCCTTGCTTTGTACAAATGATCTGACAGTCAGCTGGTTCTTTGAAATGCCAGTCTGAAGTAAGATTTCTGCCACTTCATCCTGCTTTCCATCAGGAGCACCAACAAAAAGCAGACGGTAAGAACTATCCTGAAGCTCAACAATGGCTTTAGCAGCAATGTCATATCCTTTGAGACTGAAGTCCTCATAATCCCCACGGCCAAAGGTTAACACTCTGAATTTCACACTATCTTGTGTAGCAGGTTTAGTATCTGAAAACTCTGCAAAGGAACCTGGTATTAATTGAAAGACATCTCGATGAGATGAACGCAGTTTGGACGAGAACGCTTCCTTCAGCTTGGGTCCAACTGCCACAACGAGATCTGCAATTTGGCACAACTCAACTTCAGCTCTGTTCTTTCCTTCCCCTTTGGCAATGGCGTTAGCATAGTTCTTATGCATTGCCAGCTCTTCAGGTTCAGTGTGCACAAATTGCATCCACTTGCAGGAATGAGACTCTCTGATAATTTGCGCTTGTCTACCGACCTTTGCACCATGACCAATCACAACTTGAATGTCAAGGTCCTTTGGTGGAAAGCTCAACCAATCAAGAGGATCATTGAAGGCAGGGCGACGCTGTACTTCCTTAATGGCAATGTTGTAAGTTCTGGCAGTTCTCTTGTCTTCTTCGTCACACTCAGATTCAGGTACAAGAATTGTAACTTCTACGTTTGCGTGTTTTGCCAAATGTATGGCAAGTGTTCTGTTTATTGTTGACAACCCACCCTTAGATGACCCCCATTCATTAGCCAGAAGAGCAACTTTCAGGATTGAACGACCTGGGTGACTTTGTGCAGTATCAGGTGATGGAGTATGCACTTCCTGTTAGGGAAACAAAACGCGCATTTTAGAATTGACTATTTTTACATAGACGATAATGCATCCTGTTTACCTCCCCCCCCCTCACCCCCCTCAAAAAACTTTGCATAACTTTTGTGTCCAATTTCTCCTGGGCATTAACAGTCGTCCCAAGAGAGATCGACGACAATGGTTATGCAATTTTTTTTGTAGGGGGGGGGGGGGGGGGGGGGTGCGGAACAAGGTGTATTATGACCTATGTGGAAATGGTGAATAACAATTCTGTCTGGGTGCCTACAATTGACATTTTGATTTAAACATGATGCACAACATGATATCAACAAATTAAAGATGCCAAAAATAGCTAAGAAAAAGCATGTTAAGAAAAAAACGCGACCTAAGATTAAACGAAATCATAAATACCAACTCCTATGCCAGCAGGCCAATAATTGTGTCTTTAAAAAGAACCAGTACATAAGTCATGTTAAATGTGAAAGCTTCTGCTGCATAAAATGACAATGATGATACGAAGGTTTGACAGCAAAGCAATGCACGCACAAGATTAAGAGTACTACAGGCACTGTACGATACACAAATTCATTGAAGAACAAAGTCGATGAGGCCAATTTCCACCTGTGTCGAGATTCAAAGGCTGAAGCTTGAAAACTAACCATTGTTAAGAAGAGAAGGCGGGTGATCGATTGGTTAGGGGGTGGACTTCTACAGTCAACTCTCGCCTTGCGGACACACCGCTATAACTGACACCCCGATAAAATGGACAGCAGCTAAATCCCCAGCAAAAACAAATTACAGACGTTTGACTGAAATAAACTCCTGATATTATGGACTCTCTCTAATCAGGACACGAATTCGAGGTCCCTACAGTGTCCGCTATAAAAGGGAGTTGAGTGTAATTCGGACGCTCCGAGTTTAACTAAGTCCCGCCCTGACCGCTTGCTGGATTTGTTCTTAGCAGTCCCGAGTTCAAATCCTCGGTCACGCTTGTAAATAGACAACTAGTTTGTCTCCAACCGGTTGGGATTTTTAACCATGTTATGTTTCATTTAAATTATTTGTTTCATTATCTCTGGATAGCCCCACAGGGGGAGAGGATCATTGATAATTATCATTGTTATTCGTCAAAGCCAAATGTTAAGAGCTTCTAGTATCAGCATTTGCGTCATTATATGGTACCAATTGACCTTATGAACTCACTTAATTTTACTTTATTTCTTCTAGTCATTTCCGCTCTCCTCTTTTTCCTACGGAGATTCATGTGCTAGACCACATAAGAGGTATACACTATACATCATCCTGTAATCTTTTAATTTACATGAAAAGATTATGTTGGAACTTAAAAAATTGATAGACGACTACACATTTAATAACATAATACTTGAGGGTATCTAACTTCCCCTATAGTATGATTCTCCTTTAGTTTATAAAAATGAAGCACTACCCTAACAGCATTATTTACTAGAGACTGAATTTTATTACCACCTACCTCACTTGGCACCTGTGAAAACCACTTTTCCTGCCCTCTGACCGTAAGTAACTCCTCTGAAGGTTTCTTTTTGCAAATCAGTGGGTCACCTTGTTTTAACTCCAGGAGGTGAAGACAGCCGTCATGAGTACAACCCATCTGATTATGGCCTGAGCACTTTTCCAGCTGACAGTATGGGCAGGCCACCCGAATCTCGTACTGCACTCCACGCAAATACAGAAGATCATGTGACAAGGTTTGTAAAGTTGCCTCCACAAACTCACGCACCTGCACCGCTACCCCGCTTGTGTACTCTATTGAAATCTTCTGACGCTGGATTTTTTGCTTGACGAAAAACTTTATGAACTGCTTCTTACAAATAAGAATTAAATCATGGACAATTTTCCTCCCAATGACGAACCATGCTCCATTTTGATATAGGGTAGGGGGCTGAGCTGGACCAGCCTCAGAAGACCACCGGACAAGGCGAGAAACAAGCCGTGTGAACAGGCCATGAGGAACAGAACCAGTAACAAAGTAAACATAAAGAGGACAAGGATCTGAGCTTGAGGGTACCATGGCACAAATGGAATCAGGTGGCATTCTGAGCTGGCATGGCACAAAATACTTTTCATCAGTTTTAGAAGGTGAAAACTTTGCAATCAAACCAAATTGTTCCATCAGGTCCAGAATGTCATCCTTTGCAGCGCCCTTCAGAAGAAACTTAGAAAACACATGATGAAGCAGTTCCATGCTGAGGACTCCACTTTCTTTAACTTCCTGCCAGAGTTTGGAAACCTTAGGTTCCTGAGAAATAAAATGTAGAGAGATTAAAAGGTTTTTCAAGTGACGTCTGTATTTTTCTTGACCTCTCAAAAGCAGTTGACGCCGTAATTATGCCAATATTTTTGATAAACTCGAACATCTGAGGTATTCGTGGTTTAGAACTGGACTGAATAAGAAGTAGTTTTGCAAGCAGAATGCAATATATTGAATTAAATGGCCATCGTTCGTTAAAAAGTTTTTTGTTGTCTTAACAATGCTTCTAGTTTATTAAATTTTATATCTTGTTTGCCGACGACACCAATGTATTCATGTTACATACCAACTTTTCCTAAACAATATCAATACCAGTCTTGTAACAATACTAGACATTCCTAGGCCGACCTGCACCTATTACAAACAAGGTTTGTGATTGGCTGGAAAACAAAAAAAAGGAAAAAAGGATGGTGACATAACAATGCAACTATCCCTAAAAACAATAGGTAGTGCAGGTTATAGGGACCAATGAAATAAGAGGTTTGGATGGGTGCAGGTCAATCGTACCGTCTACCCTATTGTTGAACAAACACTAAGAAATTTCCTTTTTTCAAGATCGAAAGTTTTTTAGTTCACTTGACAACGAAATTATAAAAAAGCCCGTAATTCGAGGAGGCTTTTTGTAGTTTCTCTTAGGTCTCCTCGCCACGTCTCTTTTGCTACTTATCTTACATTTTTGTTGTTGTATTTTTACTATTGTGTGTCAAATAAATAAATAAATAAATAAATAAATAAATAAAAAGAGCTAGAAGAGAAAGCTGCTGCAATAGTTTGAAAACACCTAACGAACGTATTTCGGACCTTACCGTTTCATCAAATGGTGGAATGGTTATCAGCTGCTTGAATAGGTCTATTAACCACTCAGCGCTCACAATGACTGTGCTGCAATGCTTGATAATTATACCCAGGTCATGGTAGAAATCCACCATGGTAGTGAACTCTTCCTCGTCATTTATAAAGCAGTTGTCCCTCACATAGGTTTGAAGTTCGCTTAAGAGCAAATGGTAAACTTTCTTGGCCAGCAAAGCATTGAGGACCTTCTCAAAGTTCAGCCACCTGGATTATAAAAAGATGAAGGAAAGTATTCGTGTCATCGGGCAGTTCTTGTGGCTTGAAGCGATTCATGTGCAGAAGTTTTGCACGTAATCTAAACCATGTAGATATAACACAATCACAGAAGCTAACTACAGTCGAACCTCCACTAACGGCCACCTCTCTACAATGGTCATTTTTGTTTGGCGGACAGTCCATACAGTGACTCATGTTTAAACCTCTCTACAATGGCCACTATCTTCTGTCCCCAAGGTGGCCGTTGTGCAGAGGTTCAAATATAAATTCTACAAGTCCTGACGTGTTAAGTGGCAACCATTTAGTAATAAGAGCTCACATAATTTATTGTGGCCACCTTAAGTAAAATTCCCGAAAAAGTAACGGACCCCGAATGTAACGTCACAAAATGTGGCCACTTATAAGTCCCGAAGGTACCGCTAAAAAAAATGATAATTAATGCTAAGGAATCCCAAAAATAGCAACCCCACTTCACCCCAATCTCCCCCCGATTCCTTTTTCTATTACATCTTGAAAACGGTTCACACAAGAAGAAGCCACCCACATAACAGCGAGGAGAAACTTGACGATTTTTATTTTTTAGCGACTTTTCGCCCTTTTGTTTGGAAATAAAATGTTGTCTCTAACAGTTTTCTATATCACGCTTTTGGCTCCGCCATAGTAACGACCCCCGAAAGATCATATTTAAATATTATTTTGCACCTTACAAACTGAATAATAAATTATTATGATGATTATTATAAATGATCAGCGCCCATGGCTGCTTATTACCCAAATTATTATTCAGAATAACAACTCTATTAAATAGACTCTATTTAAAAATGTTCTGGAAAGCCACCTCCCATCAAACCCTTCCTTTGCCGATTTCCTTCAAGGTAAAGCAACGTTGTGATATAGGGTGACTCTGTGGTTTATATTTATCTTTGGTTTAAATTTAATTTGCCTTTGTTCTTAGGTAAACTAATGCATTGGAATAAATTACATGTTAAAAGAGAGGGCCTGCATCACATATTAGGAAGCGTAAAGAAAGACGTTTTTGAGTGACTTATGTAATATTTCTGCGTTCGCTTGTTTCAGTATTCACGTGTTTATTTTTTCCTATTACTGACAGTCTCTAGACTGCCCTTCAACCTAAGTGACTGACTTACGATGTGCCGGCAGCCTTTAGGTATCGTATACTAGGATTTTTTATCCCCATGTAGCCAACTATTTACTGGTAAAACATAGACCTCTTTGGATATGCAAGCAAAATGCTATATGGACTGGACAAAGGCCCACAGTGTATATGTACATATGTCCACTGTAGTTTTCATGCTTTCAAACCGCAACCCTTAATTAACATGGAAATTCTCGTCAAAAGACATCTGTGTTCTATTATTCACTTTATTTACCTCACAGGTATCCTTTCCTTCATGTATGGCTCCTGTCTCAACACTTCCATGATTTTGTCTTTTAGCTCTTGGATGTCATCAATGTTTTTATCTTTTCTAAAAACCTTTTCCAACCTTCTCTGAATTAATTTTGCAGAGTTGTCAATGGAGAAGATAGGCCGCACTACATGTCCTTCATAGTCCTTACCAGCAATTGCCTTCTGTATTGTTCTCTTCATTGTTGCAATGTCTTCAAACGGTTTGTCTGCATGGGTGCCTACAATGATCACAGGGGGACGCAGATGAGGCAGCTTTCCTTCTGCATCGTCACGAGTTTGTCTTCGCATCTGTGTGATGCTATGCACTGTGGACAGCCAAGATAGCAGGTTCTCCAAATTTGTTTCCCCATTTGGATTGTCCAACGTGAAATTATGATTTCCTTGCCTCACACAGGGCTGGGCAGTGTCATGCAATGATTTGCTGAGGTTGCACACCAATATATATATTGCACGTGATGTTAAAAATACAGGATGAGATGCATAGTACAGCTGTTGTCCAGCAAAATCCCACAGATCAATACTACTAACGGATTTTTTGGTGACAACTTTTGCTCGTTTTTCACCTTTTACATACTTTATCAACTCTTCAGCGCGCTTTGTGATCTCGTCAGGAGGTGAAGTAGTATCAATCATTATCTCATGTTCAGGCTCTGATGATGTCACTTCACTGACACCTTCCTTTTTTGGATCAGGGACCTATAACAGGACACAATAAGACTGTAAATTATTCATCCGATACAGTAAACACCCGCACATAAGAACACATGATTTCGAGGTTCAGGCTGGTGTAGTTCTTCTTTATCACGTGGTTAGTAAGAAATCAGCCTGAAGATGTTCTTAATAAGTTTGTCAGAAATACTACACTTAACATGTTACCAGAGGTTTAGTTAGCATAGTTTAATCTTTAATACCAATGACAAAATAAGTAAGTAAACAAATCAGTAGATCAATAAATAAAATAAAAATCTGTCATGTAGTAAACTCGTTAACGTTTACGAGTAGAAATGTAACAGTTTCAACATTTTCAAAATATTTCTTACAGTCATACTATTAACTCAACCGGGGCCACCATTGACTCTTCAGCCAAGAAATCTGTTATAGTTTTGTAATTGTCTAGCACCAACCATACAGTTACATTGCTTTCTTATTCTGACATCCTCTCCCTTATTATATAAGCACATGTTTTATTTATCAGGCTGACTGGTTCTTACTTATATGGTGCTTTATGAACCAAATTTCAGCCTGATGTTCTCAATCCATTTGTTTTTATATGCGGGTGTTTACTGTACTATTATTCCAAAAAAAGGATGGATCAACTCAAACATCAAGACATTATCATTGGGGAGATGGGCATCAACCAAACAGATTCAAACCTGCACAAACATCTATTCAGAACAAACCTGTTTGTTGCTTTGTGAGGACAAAAATTTGCATACAAAATATTAAAACTGTCGAAACCTCGGCAAAGGCATAAATTAAGCTATTCCCATGATGCACTGCAAACAATCATTGGGGAGAGCAGTTTCAAAAAGATGCGGTTTCGCGGTCAGCGGATTCATTGGTTTCATGTGAACGAAAACTCCTTTATGTAAAAAAAAAACTGTGATAAAAATTAATATGCGGATTCAAATATGTTGCGATTTGTGTTTATAATAACGGGGCCTTAAATGAATGTTGCAAATAATATAATTTGAAACGTTGACATTGAGTGACAATAACATTTTATCGTTATATAATATCATGACTCATTCCTCGCGTAACGAAAGTTACAAAAAATTGTCTTCATTCGCATCGCGCGTGGATCGCACAGCGAGGCAGAATGTTAGGCCCGGGAAAACGTCGAATCTTAGTCGAACTTAATTCGTCGAATCTATTAATTTTGAAATAGGCGCATAAATGGTGCGACGTTTGCCGCAAGTAAACGCCTCATATAATAAACGCCCTCCCTCTACGCTGATAAAATTGATTTAGACGCCCCCTATGAGAATTACTACAAAATACTACGATTAAGAAAAAGGGATCAAAATCATTCAGTCCATTCAGATTCTTGCTTTTATAATAAACAAGGCTTTGTGTATTTCATCTTGTTCAATGTCAAGTTCAAAGTATGGATAGAATAACGAAGACATAACACAATAACCCTGACATCGATGTTGGGATTTGAGCGATAAGGATCTCTGGCGGCTTATTCGGCTATTTTTAAACTCTCTTGATATTTTTGCCGAAAGCATATAACATTTGTTGAGCTGGTTACAGTTATGAGAATAAACGCCTCTCTCTTTTAAACGCATGGAGCCTATCTATAAAACGCCCCCGCGCTTGGATTCCTAAAATCATATAGACGCCCCGGACGCTTAAAAGGTAATTTACAGTATATACCTAGTACCTCTTGGTGGCGGTCTGCAATAACATCGATCACCAATTGTAATTGCAAGCGATGAATTTCGACGGCAGAAGTTTTTTTTACAAAGAAAGACATTTAGACTATCAGCTTCAGAAGAAGAGCAAAAATCGAGACATTTAATGAATATTTTTAAGTGAGTCTCACTTAGCAGACCAATTTGCTTCTGTCGGTTAAGTATGCGTGTAGGAAGTGCCTTCGGAACTCATGTAATACACCGAGGACCACCCAATATCAACTTGGCACTTTTTCCACAGATCGATCAAAGAAAGCGAACCGCGGTAATTGTTTGATTTCTATCGTCTTTTTTCATCCGGCAGACAATATAATGTTACCCATCCAGTTTCGAACCCCGCCCGACACGAAAGAAGTAGCAGATTCCCGAATTTTTAAGAAGAGATTAACGAAAATCTTCTTAAAATGACTTTCATCATTTTACTACTTATAATTAGTTGACTATTTTAATTACTTTTTCTTGTATCTTAAGTTAGCTGTAAATAGTTAGCCCATTGTGACTGAAAAGCGCTTCAAAGGGAGTCTCAACTGAATAAACGAATACATGTGCTATTTTAAACCAAGTTTCGTGAGGGTAGGCGGGCCACCTATTTCTGCTATAAGAAAGCCAAGATTTAACTGGAAACAAACCTGGTTCACAAATGAATCGTCTCTCTTTTCACCATCAGCATCATCCGCGTTCGTCCCACTCCTGTAATTTTTATTTTTAAGCTGGTCACTGTCGTGTATTTCTGGATCTTCTTTCTCCTCCTCAAAACAAAGCTTTCCCACCAGCATCTGTGCCACATCTTTAGAACAACCCAACAACCCTCGTTCACTCTTATCAATGGGTTGCCAGTTCTTAACTTCGTCGGCATGCACTTGAAAGATTGACGGATCCACTTCAATTCCTTCAGTACTATTTTCGTGACGATTAAATGGCAGACCAATGAGAGATTTTTTCAAGCTTGTTTTTCCTGCCCTATCCTGACCAATAAGCAATATCCGAGAACGCTGAACACTAACAGCTCCATCTCTAAGAGCACGTTGATAAACAAGCTGCGCTCTTTCTCCTCGTGCTTCTATTTCCTCGGGAGCTACAAAGAATACAAAATTTTAAAATCATGTGTCAGACATGACCCTCGTAAATGTGTCGTTTTACTTGTCACGTCAGTCTTTGTTTATTAGAACCAACCGGTAACGTGCAGATCATGGAGAGACATTTTTACAACTCAATAATCCCTTCATGGGCAAACACAACTGCAACTCTGCATGCTTTGTTCAAACTTACAGAGCGGACACTCAAACCGGGACACTTGGAAGAAGATTGTACAATCACAACGTTTTCTGAAAACAAGATGCTCGATTTTTTTTGCATACGGGCCGTGCAACAACATCCATCAATTTGAGGGCTGTTTCCTGATAGGTCAGGTAAGTTCAAACGGTTTTAAAAATTTCAACGGTTGCATAGTTGAATACTTGAATTTTATTAGTCTGTCTGCAAAAACACTTGAGAATCTTTTATTTGGAGAAAACGTCGTGATTGGACAATTTTCTTCCAAGTTTTCGGTTTGATTGTCCGCACTGTAATGTACTAGTTTAGTCTTGATGGTCTTTTTACCCAAAGTAATGTCCTTAATATGATTCAGTGTTTACCGACTATTAGCAGCTGCGTCTCAGATTAATGCTAACGATCAAGAACATGATTAAAGAAATCTTACCATAGAAGGTAAGTGAATTGAAAGTTACTTTTTAACTGTTATCGTTACCTTCGGAGGGTCGTGAGTTCGATTCTTGGCTGGAGATCGGAATTTTTTCTGAGCTTTCTGGTGTAAGATTTCTCCTTCTTCCAAATTAATGTAGTTTAAGTTTTGTTTTATCAAGTTGCATGATTTCATTTACAGTAAACATGTGATTTTCGTGGATGGGCATTGACAAATGCTGCTTCGCTCTTTCTTCTTTTATTTATATGTAATTCATCGCCTTTAGTATAAGCAACATAAAGTAGCTAACTTTGTGCAGTTAAATTTTGATTTGAGGTTTTTAAAAAAACTTAACTATTATAAACTGCCAGTTATCTTTTGGTTTCAATGTTTTAGTTTTCAATGAGAACAAATACTTTTGTCTCAAGATTTTTAGTGCTTGCTTTTTTTCTTCTTAATTGTCTGATTTTCAATATTAGAACTAAACAGTAAATGTAGGAGCTGCTCGTAAGGTGTTTCCTCATTGATCGCAGAAATCAATAACACATCACTGTTTATCATTATTTCCCATTTTTTCACAGTTAGGGTACCGAACCAATTGGCATTTAGGATTAGGAGAGCTGCTACATGCAGAGAATTATAGCAGAGAAATTTTGGAAGTCACGTGACCGTACGTCTATCCGTCGCACTGTCCAACGATCTGCATCACTGCCCCAATGTGAAATGTCACACTTTCTAGCTAATGTGGGTACCTGCAACCTATCTGAAAGTCAATATTTTAGTGTACATCAATGTTTCTATGTAGATAACATATAACCAAATAGGTGATAAAAATATATAACTTATAAATTAAATATTAAAAATAAAACATACTTTAATTACATAGACTCTTAAAAATTCATTACAACAAAGGAACGTATTTGCAATAAAATGAAGAAATAAACAAAATTATAGAATAGTGTACGTATAAAAGTTACTAGCTTTCAATTGACTGCAGGCGTAAGTTTTTTTTTGTCAGCAGGAATTAAGTTGTTTCTTGGTTACGGTGAAAGGTGAACTCTCTCAGAGGGCCGTTTCCTAAAACTCACAGTCACTACCAGACCTGGAAAACATGCTTTATTCAAGATCGAAGTTTAACATTTAAGGCAATTAAATGAAACTATCCATGAGTGAGACAAAGTGTTTTAAGTCTGTAAAATTTAGCGACTTTGCAAAGCTATACACTCGTTAGCTTTCAACAAATCACTCTCAACTTGGCAACTTGCTGTTGTAAATGTTTCATTGAATTTTCATTCATGTCATGATTGGGACTGTTTTTGGAAGTCAGTGAGTTTAACTTTATTTAACTTCACTCTTTGATTAAGCAACTTGTAAGAAGATACTGTTTTCATGCAGTTTTTTCAAGGTCATTTAGGTCTTAGATTTCGAGACACCAATTGCCGCCGACCTACCATACAGTAAAGTTTCGATTACAGAGATTTCCTTCAATAACCTAATCCAGTTCACAGGTATGATTTAAATAAATGTCTGTTGTAAGTGCGTGATTTAACTCGAATTTCGAGTATACCAATGCGTGGTGAACTCAGAAAGTAGAGGGCGAACTTGTAGGGGGCTAATTCACTAGGAGGTGAATTTACTGATATTCCTTGTTTTTGGTCTTAGATCACAGGAGTCAGTCCAATCAAATATCAATATTTTTCAAGATTAAAAAGATAAAATAAAATATTAATTCGTGTGGTCAAATACAGTTTTCAAAAAGAAAAATGAGTCTGCGGCCTTTTAGTTTATGGAAAATACTTGTTTGTGCTAAAACCCCATACATTTTTTTTAAAATTTACATCAAACTGATTGGACGGCGCGTGTCTCTGATCGCTAAAATTGCTGCAAGCCCTAGTCAGTCGAGCAGCACACTAATCTTTGAGTCTCCTGTGGTTCCTTGGATGTCCAGTGTCGCTATTTAGATGTCACAATCTGGACTTATCTTTTTCAGGGAAATTTTTAGAAGTTTATTTGTTATTAATGTAATAAGGGTTCAATTTAACTTAGCCTTTATTTGTCCTCACCTGCAACATCAGTGGACAGTCCTCTTTTATCCAACTTTAGAGCAAGATGTAAAGCATCAACAGTTAAAGGATTACCACTCACACTCAGGCTCTTCAGCTCCTTTAGGTCACCAATCTCAGCAGGTAATTCAGTAAGATTGTTTCCATCCAAGTTCAGCTTTTCAAGCCTGTTCAGCTTATGAATACTGGTAGGTAAATCAACCAACTGGTTGTTCCTCACACTCAGCCAACTCAGCTCGTTTAGGTCACCAATCTCAGCAGGTAATTCATTAAGATTGTTTCCATCCAAGAGCAGCCTTTGAAGACTGTTCAGCTTTTGAATGCTGGTAGGTAAACCAACCAACTGGTTGTTATTCACACTCAGCCGCCTCAGCTCCTTTAGGTCACCAATCTCAGCAGGTAATTCAGTAAGATTGATTCCATCCAAGAGTAGCCTTTGAAGCCTGTTCAGCTTTTGAATACTGGTAGGTAAACCAACCAACTGGTTGTTATTCACACTCAGCCAACTCAGCTCCCTTAGGTCATCAATCTCAGCAGGTAATTCAGTAAGATTGTTTCCATCCAAGTTCAGCTTTTCAAGCCTGTTCAGCTTATGAATACTGGTGGGTAAACCAACCAACTGGTTGTTCCTCACACTCAGCCAACTCAGCTCCTTTAGGTCACCAATCTCAGCAGGTAATTCAGTAAGATTGTTTCCATCCAAGAGCAGCCTTTCAAGACTGTTCAGCTTTTGAATACTGGTAGGTAAACCAACCAACTGGTTGTTATTCACACTCAGCTGCCTCAGCTCCTTTAGGTCATCAATCTCAGCAGGTAATTCAGTAAGATTGTTTCCATCCAAGTACAGCCATTGAAGCCTGTTCAGCTTATGAATACTGGTGGGTAAACCAACCAACTGGTTGTTCCTCACACTCAGCCAACTCAGCTCCTTTAGGTCACCAATCTCAGCAGGTAATTCAGTAAGATTGTTTCCATCCAAGAGCAGCCTTTCAAGACTGTTCAGCTTTTGAATACTGGTAGGTAAACCAACCAACTGGTTGTTATTCACACTCAGCTGCCTCAGCTCCTTTAGGTCATCAATCTCAGCAGGTAATTCAGTAAGATTGTTTCCATCCAAGTACAGCCATTGAAGCCTGTTCAGCTTATGAATACTGGTGGGTAAACCAACCAACTGGTTGTTCCTCACACTCAGCCAACTCAGCTCCTTTAGGTCACCAATCTCAGCAGGTAATTCAGTAAGATTGTTTCCATCCAAGAGCAGCCTTTCAAGCCTGTTCAGCTTTTGAATACTGGTAGGTAAACCAACCAACTGGTTGTTATTCACACTCAGCTGCCTCAGCTCCTTTAGGTCATCAATCTCAGCAGGTAATTCAGTAAGATTGTTTCCATCCAAGTACAGCCATTGAAGCCTGTTCAGCTTTTGAATACTGGTAGGTAACCCAACCAACTGGTTGTTACTCACACTCAGCCACCACAGCTTCTTTAGGTCACCAATCTCAGCAGGTAATTCAGTAAGATTGTTTCCATCCAAGAGCAGCCTTTGAAGCCTGTTCAGCTTTTGAATACTGGTAGGTAAACCAACCAACTGGTTGTTATTCATACTCAGCCAACTCAGCTCCTTTAGGTCACCAATCTCAGCAGGTAATTCAGTAAGATTGTTTCCATCCAAGACCAGGCATTGAAGCCTGTTCAGCTTTTGAATACTGGTAGGTAACCCAACCAACTGGTTGTTACTCACACTCAGCCACCACAGCTTCTTTAGGTCACCAATCTCAGCAGGTAATTCAGTAAGATTGATTCCATCCAAGAGCAGCCTTTGAAGCCTGTTCAGCTTTTGAATACTGGTAGGTAAACCAACCAACTGGTTGTTATTCACACTCAGCCAACTCAGCTCCCTTAGGTCATCAATCTCAGCAGGTAATTCAGTAAGATTGTTTCCATCCAAGTTCAGCTTTTCAAGCCCGTTCAGCTTATGAATACTGGTGGGTAAACCAACCAACTGGTTGTTCCTCACACTCAGCCAACTCAGCTCCTTTAGGTCACCAATCTCAGCAGGTAATTCAGTAAGATTGTTTCCATCCAAGAGCAGCCTTTCAAGCCTGTTCAGCTTTTGAATACTGGTAGGTAAACCAACCAACTGGTTGTTATTCACACTCAGCTGCCTCAGCTCCTTTAGGTCATCAATCTCAGCAGGTAATTCAGTAAGATTGTTTCCATCCAAGTACAGCCATTGAAGCCTGTTCAGCTTTTGAATACTGGTAGGTAACCCAACCAACTGGTTGTTACTCACACTCAGCCACCACAGCTTCTTTAGGTCACCAATCTCAGCAGGTAATTCAGTAAGATTGTTTCCATCCAAGAGCAGCCTTTCAAGCCTGTTCAGCTTTTGAATACTGGTAGGTAAACCAACCAACTGGTTGTTATTCATACTCAGCCAACTCAGCTCCTTTAGGTCACCAATCTCAGCAGGTAATTCAGTAAGATTGTTTCCATCCATGAGCAGCCTTGGAAGACTAGTTAGCTTTTGAATACTGGTAGGTAAACCAACCAACTGGTTGTCATTCACACTCAGGCTCTTCAGCTCCTTTAGGTCACCAATCTCAGCAGGTAATTCAGTAAGATTGTTTCCATCCAAGTACAGCTCTTCAAGCCTGTTCAGCTTGTTAATACTTCTTGGCAACTCAGTCAGATTATTGTCTTTAAGCGTAAGTTCCTTCACTTCACTCAGTTCAGTGACTGCATCAGGTACCCTGGATAGTCCTTTTCCATTCAGATCCAAAGTTGCTCTTCCATATACGACTTTTAAGTACTCAGCTCTCAATTTATGACTGTTATAATCCTCCATGTTTAGGATTATTAAAGCAGACTTGTCCTTTTTATTATATAACTAAAATGATAAAAAAAAGAATGTGCAGTAAGCAAACTAAACATTATTATCAGTCAATGTTTCTAAAAACCACGTCGATGAATTTTGTAGAAAAATAAGAAAAGAAAAGAAATCTGTTGCTATTGTTGTTAGTTTTCAAAACACAGTATTACATGACTTATTTCTTGTATGTTACACTGATTACTTACACTACCTGCCCAGGGTAAGGCCAGCATTATTTCATGTTGAAAACGAAATGATTCTCAATGAAATGAATGAATGATAACTTTATTTATGCACGGTTAAAAACATCAGTCTAACATAAAAAATTAATTAAAAATTCTCAAAATCTGTTTTACATATTTGCCGTGTGGGAGTACTGATCAGAAAACCATCTATGGGAACTTCTCTTAATTAAAGAGACCTAAGGAATTTGATGTACGTATTTCCTCAGGAAGACTGTTCCATAGAAGAGAGCCACTATAACTAAAGCTACGCTTCAGGTAGTCAGTTCTTGGTTTTGGGGGCATTAATTTATCTTTGCGTTGCGAAAATAGTAATTCGGTTTTCTTGGGGCAAGCAAATTATCGAAAATTACAGAGATAAGCTGGGGTGAGATGATTAATGCACTTGTACATTAAATTAGCCTTTTGTTTAGCCCTTCTAACCGATTAATTGTCCCAACCAAGCGAGTTGAGAAGAAATCTGGAACTAGTATCATAGCTAGATTTGGTGATAACTCTGATAGCACGATTTTGAAGTTTTTGAAGTTTCTCACTAAGCTGTTGGGTCAAGCCATCCCATACAGCGCTGCAATAATCGAAGTGTGGCTCGATGAGACCTTTGTATATTTTAATTGCAGTGTGCATTGAAAAAAACTGGCCTGACCCGCTTAAGAGCACCGATACCAGAGGATAATTTTTTAGAGATTTCATGAATGTGGGCCTTCCACGAGAAATTTTCATCAATGATAAGCCCGAGAGATTTGCTTTGATTGCTTTGGTTTATTGGGATGCCGTCTATATGAATGTTCATTGTGTAGTCATTTAAGGACTGTAGAAGACCAAAGCGATGCTCGCTACCGGTAAATGGATCGAGAAAAGAATGAATAACCAGCAGTTGCAAGTTAAAATTAAATGCCACCGAACTTAAACAAGTGAGCACACAAAAACTTCTAGGTGTCACAATTGATCAGAAACTCTCTTTTGATGACCATGTTGACGAACTCTGTAAAAAGCTCTGTCAACGAATTGCCGTGCTGGGAAAGATTAAGTGATTTCTTCCTTTGGAACAGAGGAAAGCGGTTTACAACGCCAACATGATAAAGCAAACAATGCTGTATGCCTCTAATGTATGGTCCGCGTGCTCCACTGGAAATTTGCAGAGGATTTTTCGTCTCCAGAAGCGAAGTGCACGCATTATCCTTGACGGCGACACGCGAGCAAACAGTGATGAACTGCTCATGAGATTGGATTGGCTCCCCCTGCACCTTGAGGTGAAGGTGAACATCTGTGTTCAGGTTCACAAACGTATTAATGTGCGTAGCCCAGGTTATATGAGTGATCTCTGAGTGTTGAGATCAATAAACGAAAAAATAATAAACGAAATAACAGAAATAGCTCCTTAAACTTTGGTGTGAGGGCAACAAGATTGTGGAATGCACTGCCAAATTCTTTAAAGAAGATTGAATGTGTTGATAGTTTTAAAAAGGTCTTAATTGACTTTTATGCTTCTTCTTAATTTTCTTTGTTGTATTTTTATTGTTTGATAACTTCCTATTCATAACTTTAATTGTACTTTTTACTGTTGTATTTTTAATTGTAATTTTTCGGATTATTATATGTATATTTTCAATTGTGATTGTTAACTTTTTATAATGAGGGCCGCAGGTTTGTCAGTTTACTGTTTTGCGTTACCCTCTTTAAATAAAGTTGATAGATACATACATGAATCAAAAAAATGTGCAAAACTAACGCAAGCAGGTTGTCATGGGAAACAAGTTGACAATTATTGTTAACAATCAACTTTAATTTTGGCAATCGATTACTACACTGATATGAATTCCAGAGAACTTGGTTTACGAAAATCATATTACTGATCATTAGAAAGCAATTTGAGAGTGCTAATTCTGAAATTGTTGCCTTAAGTTTCATGAGCAATGTAAATATAGGGATGTCACTTAGAAATCAAAAAAGAATCAAATCAAACAGCTAGGGATTTCTTTTGGTTCTATTTTTCTTTTATTTTCCAATAAAAGTAGCCGGGGGCCACACTCATAATAGCCGGAGGAAATCCCCGGCCCCCGGCTCTTAATGACAGCCCTGTAAATATACAGCTATTTCGAGAAAGGTTGTCAGAAAAAGTGCATGCAATCGCAAAAGATATTGTGGGTGGTAATTTTGAGTGCAGTATAGTACCGCAAATGATCCCCAACCGCAGATGATCTCGAGACCGCAAATGATCCCCAAAATGGACGGCAAATAATCCTCGACCGCAAGTGATCCCTAAAGTCGACCGCGAATGATCCTGTGAAAACTTAAGGGATGGAATGGATTTTATGGGACTGATTACAAAAAAGGACTGGTTATAGAAAAGAAACCTTTTTCTCTCGCCTTCTAAAGAAAAAGGTAAAGAGGAGGCTACATCTCAAGCCAATTTTCCGGTCGCTGAAAATTTTAAGACAGGCAGGACGTTACCATGAAAAAACTCTATTATGTTAACGTCTAGAAGTGCAACTTGTCTACTGAGGAATACAAAGCCGGGCACCCTCTACATAACACGCGCTTTATTTACTTTACTGATCTTTTTGGAAGTGTGAAATTAATTTCAGATAATCAGTTTGATATTCCTCTGAAGTGTTAATTTTACGTGATAAACAGCAAGACATTTGTTCGTAACTTGGGTGCCCGTTACGAAAAAGAACATGATTTAACATCACTGACAAGTCAAAATGCCCCCGAACTTATCAATGTCCACAGGTTTCGGTTTATTTCGAAATAGGGACTTGCTTACAGCTCATGAACACGTTTTGAATAGTTATATTGTCGCTTTTATGTATATTCATTTGTTGTGCCTTTACTGGAGACAGTTACCAGAAATCTAAACCTGGTAATGAGAAACGCAAAAGCGAGGTTAGCAGTAGTTATCATGTGATAAAACATCGTAAGACTACCGTCACATTCACGGACTAAAAGAAAATCGCTTATAATTATTCGGATCCGGGAGGCACTTTGGAGAAAACTAAACATCCTAAACCCTTATTTAGAGTCAATGAAGAGCATTGCATTTCAAAAGAGGTCAAAGGAAATGCTCTTGCATCAAAGGGCAAATCATGCCGACCAGAAACAACAATAACCGCAGAAAATGCGTGTCATGACCTCTCAATATGAAATAAGCGGCAAAACTCACATTTGCTCAGTCAAAACGTTTTCCTTCAGAGGTATAATCTACCCGACAGAGACAAAATTCATTGGAACAAGCAGCATTTTGGCATGAGGTGAAAGTCGTGTGTTGCCTACCGACTTCGTTTTTACACTTGAATGATTTTCTTTTCATTTAGTTTTTATTCATGTATTTATTTGAGAAGTAAAATTTGGCTTTTAATCCTACTAGAAGTTTTTGTAATAATAATAAAATCGACACGATGATCCGCTAACTTGAGTCCAAGTCATTCCTATTAAATTCGGGATCATTTGCGGTCGACTTTGGGGATCACTTGCGGTTGAGAATCATTTGCGGTCCATTTTGGGGATCCTTTGCGGTCTCGGGATCATTTGCGGTACTGTACAGTGCACTGTTGGGTACAAAGAAATTTGAAAGAATAGCACAGGGGGCCACGGACATACCGTGGCGTCACCGTAAAATTCTGAAAATAAGCCTCTCCATGTATAAGCCCCTCCAAATATAAGCCCCCGACCTCGTAACGTAAAAACCCTCCCTTAAATCGCCCCTCCAAATACAAGCCCCCGGGGGCTTGTACTTGGAAATTGCCCTCAAATTCAAAATTAAACAAAGCAAAAAGTGTACAGTAACACATAAACTTTTGCATTTGTCAAAGAACTATTACGTGTGCCAAATGCTTGCAGTCAAAAAGTCTCACAGTCTATTGCTGTTTGCGTGGTGGTTCACTTTTAATTCTTGGCTTGGATTTCCTCGTTCCATATAGAAAAAGTACTTGCATGGCTGAGTTTTAGTAAGATCTTTGTCCTCAAGGCGAGTTTCAGTAAAAACTTTCTGAAAATTACTGACATAAATTTCTTTCCAACTATGAGCTAGCCCAATCAATTTTGAAACGTAAATTTCGTTCCCAGTATAAGCCTAGCTGATTTTCAAAAGCAAATTTCTCTCTGTATATAAGCCCCTCAAAAAGCGCCTTTGAAAAATATAAGCCCTGGGGCTTATTTTCGAAAATTTCATGGTATGTTTGCAAGTGCTAAAGGAAAGCAGCAAAAGTAGGTTTGATAGCTACAGTCGTTAGGAACAGTGCACTGCATGATCATATTCCAAATTACCTTTTGGGATTGTCGCGTACACATTTTTCCGACGACCTTTCTCGAAATTATAATCTGTATGTTACAGTCCAAAACTACATTAAGGCAGCCTAGTCCCTAGGCGTTCTCTCTTGAACCGTTAACCGCGCGAAGCCTGGGAGAGAGCAGGCGAGTATCTCTCGGTGACGTCACAGCTCATGGTGGAGTCCAGGATTGACCGAGCCGAGAATGCCTAGGGACTAGGCTGACATTAAGGTTAAAATGTACTTTTAACCTAGGTTGATTTTCAATTTCCTTGTCTCCCAGCCCTAACTCATGAATAGTCAGGGCTCAAGGAGACAAAAAAAAATTGAGAATTAACTTGGATTAAAAAATTTGATCTAAATTTGATTTTGACCTGTAACATATACAACATTATCTTGCAATCTACTCCTTAAAAAGTGATGAAATTTGACAGAAATCCTGTTCATAGTAGACTTAAGTCAATGATAGAGTCAAAATAAATTTTGAACAAAGGAGTTTTGTGACATAATCAGGACGATATGACAACTTATTATTTCTTACACTTTCTCAAAAGTCACACTCCAAAAATATTTTGGACCATATCTCTAGGGTTCATTTCAAGTTTAAGATAGCAAAGAACAGTCTAAAGTAAATGCCTAGTGGTCGCACTTAGTAAAGGTGTGAATTGCCAACTTGGTACATTGTTTGCATTCTTCAGCCATATCTTTGTCATTGTTACCAGGGACCTGTTTACATGGCGGTGGAGGACTCCAGGAAGATGTGGTAATCATCCACATCTATCATGTAAACGTACGTAATCAAATTAAAATAAGAAATGATGTGGACAGGCGAGGTTACCCCACCTCAGCGAGTTACCTTAACTACCTGGGGTCCCCCACCTCCTTGTAAACAGGCCTTAATTAAGTGCTCCAGTTTACGGGACTTTAAAATTCGCCCGGTTTCAAACTCGTACCCAGAGTCTTCTGGGTACAGCGTTGCCCCGCTGACCAAAAAATCAGAAGACTCTGAATACGAAATTGGGTGTCACGGTTCGTAAGTGCGTACCCAAAAAGTTGAGGAGAAAAAATAAAATAAAATAAATATAACTAAAAAAAATCGGTTTCCAGAGAAGCGACGACATTAATTGGAGAACCGAATCTTGGATGATTTATTTATATAGCAGGCTTGATGATGTAAAGCGTGAACGTGTTGTTTTGTCCACTACCTCTCTTCGCAGTAGACGAAATAGGTCACAATTACGTTTATGTGTGGTGCTTTTGTCGGTCAAAAACAATGTGACAAAAAGCAATAAAAAACGGTCATCTGTAAACAAAAGTCACTACAAGCTTGATTTTTAATAGCTTTGATTAATGATAAACGGTTGACGTCAACGAACATAACAAGCCAACAGAATTAAGGAATTTTAGAGGTTGTGTCATTTCATAAACAGCAAAAATGCTTTGGCTTACAGACGTTAACCCCACCTTTAATAAAGGCACCTTAAAAAAATGTTGAAATTTGGAGTGGGAGGTGGGGGGGAGACGATGTAGAAAAAGTCGGGCGTACCTCTGGAAAAATCCTGGCTACGCCCCTGCGTGTGTCATTCAGAAATGGAGAAAAACGCTTGTTTTTTGTACCCAAGGCTCAGTAATTGCTCATCGGACGTCTTTCGAGTTGTTGTCGAAGATACTCCGAAATTTGTGCGAATCAGGTCGGATTCATTGAGATCCGAGGCAATGAATGGAAGTTGCAATTTTATGGGTGGAGTTCTGTGGATCGTTTTCAATACACTTTAACAACAGAGCTTAATTGCGAGCCTTGAAATGCGTTCCCTTTTGTTAGTTGCAGTGTGATGTTTACAGAAAGATGTCAATATGTTTTCCACCAAAGGAAACGTTTCGCGTAATAGCGATTTAAAAAATATTCCTGCAGCAGTTAAATGTACTTAACAAGCTTTAAAATGGATCTTGAAACAGAAATTTGGGTTGAGTTTTCCCTACTCATGCAT